AAAAAATTAAATAAATAAAACTTTGCGCGACGTAGGTAGGCATTACGTCGCGCAAAGTAGCTTTGCACGACGTAGATCCCTGCGTCGCGCAAAGATACTTTGCGCGACGCAGTGCCTACCTACGTCGCGCAAACCCTTCCTTCACTGCCTTCGCGCGACGGTTCTTGCGCGACGAAGGTTCGTTTGGCTAATTTTTGGGCGACGTATTTTTGACTTTGCGCGACGACGGTCCTACGTCGCGCAAAGTATTTTTTGTACTAGTGTGGTAATAGATCTAACCCCCCCTAGAAACTAATTAAACCAACGTGTGCGACTAATGCGGAAGTACGAACATAATAAATATTTCTTCTTTCAACAAAATATCCACAATAAAAAAATTTAAAGAACAATACAAGTAATTACTTCAAGCTAGTGAACCATGCACACTAAAGATTCTCTCAAGCGCATAATAAAAGAGAAATTGGCAATAAAATTGAATCCATGAATAAAATGCTATTAGGATTGGCATGGAAAAAAATTTGGAATATGTCACTTCCAATACTAAGATTCTAGGAAGCAACAAAACCCATCAAGTACCAGAGAAAAGGAGGATCAAACCTTCGCTACAAAGTGATAGAAACATGCCATTAAGAACAGTGTGCATGGATAGAAATATTACAAAAAAGCAAGAACAAACCTACTCAAATACCACGGAGATGAATAGATCAAAAGGTAGTACCCAGTGCACAAGGCTCCCGCTTTACGCAGGGTCTGGGAGAGGTGAATGTCGGCTAGCCTTACCCCCATTTATGAAGAGGCTGCTCCCAAACGGAGATGAATAGATATAGGAAACAAATTAAAACAAAGATATCTGAAAGGGCTACATGCATGTTAACATATATAACAGAAAAAACCCGAACTTATATTTAGAGTTACACACAAGTCCAAATTGTAATATAAGAATAGTCATTTCAAGACAAAAAGAAACACAATATTTTAACTAGTGCATAAATTACTCTAGAAAATTTTGACAAACAAGGTAAAAAAGCTCAACCTTTGGGAATTCAATCAAAAGGATTTTCCAAAGGCATATTGAAGCCATTTATTTTGGACCAGAGATAATTAAGCCATTAGTTATGCCCAAACATAAGATGTGGGTTAGGCTAATTGGCTAGGACAACGTATCCGCCCCATTGTACCTAAGTATGAATCCCCCATTGCACCTAAGTATGAATCCCCGTCCTAGTAGATTAAAGTAGTTTAGAATATCACTTTGCCAAATATTATGTAACAAAGCCAAAATGTTAGGTCATCTCCAATGCACCGGAAAATTTAGACTCAAATAATGTTATATTTGAGTCTAAAAATGAGAGGCAAGGACTCGCCAATGCACATGAGACTTGGGCCATTCCAATGCACTAGAAAATTTTGACTCGAATCTCATATTTGAGTCTAGATATGAATCAAACATCTCCAATTCACTAGATACTTAGGACTTATATATAAGTTTTCAGCTAATATGTGACTCTAATTTGGAGTCTAAGGTGGATCCCATGCCAACAATAAAAAAATGCTTTTCAACCAAGGAAAATAAGATGAGTTTTGACCCCAACCATCTCTAATACACATACCAAAATTGTTAAAAATCACATTGAGAGTTTTGACTTTATGTTTTCTCTTCTAAGGCACACACCTTAATTGTTAAAACTGAAATGTGGGTTTGACTCCAATGTTTTCTATTCCAAGGCATTGACCCAATCTTAACAATGTGCATTGGAAGAGAAAACCAAACACTCAAACCCACCACTATTGTTGGACTCAAATATAAAAATATAAGTTAGGAATACAAATCTTCCATCATAGATGACCTACCATTTGTTCAAAATATTTATTAAATTGTTCTTTGGTGCTCAAACCTAGAATTGGCCTTAATATGAACCTCGTCCAGACCTTCAATCTTATGTTACAGAAACTTTCTGAATAAATTAATCAATAACCATATTTTTTTCAATAACAACCTGCTCTGCACAATTAATCTGGTATGTATATAGACTTCAGACTTGCAAGCTAAGTTTCTAACCGATTATTAACACCCACCACCACAACAACTAATCTTCTAATCTGAAGTGTCAAACATCTAATTAATAAGGAACCCTTGAGCTACTACAATTTACTTATACACTCCAATTTGGGTATCCTATCAGGAATTGGGATAGGGCAACTGTAATCATTACTCTGATAAAAACTTAAACCTCACATGGAAAACGGATTAGATATGTAATGCTCTTGAAACCAGTCTTGAAAAGAGGGCATCCAGTGTGATGCTTGCTATTTGTAATTTATTCTTAAATCCATTGTCCATGACTCAAGTTCATTATCATCAACTAGTAGTTGACCTAACCCATTACATGAACTAAACCAACATATTTAACTAACCCGAAAGCATGAAGATAACGAGTATTTCTTCCCAAAAACCAAATATCCAGATTAAAAATTTGAACATATGTAAAAACAGTACGAAACAGAAAAGAAATCGATAAACAGAAGTACAATCAAGGAGATTACGATTGATACGTACCTTGATGATTAAACCTGCGGCAAATTAATGGAAGCAGATCTGCTATACCACTCACTGACGCCAAAACATCAACAAGTACTACACTTGTACTTCCTACTAAAAAAAAAAAAAAGGTCGTACCCAGTGCACAAGGCTCCCGCTTTACGCAGGGTCTGGGAGAGGTGAATGTCGGCTAGCCTTACCCCCATTGTCCAAAACATCAACAAGTACTACACTTGTACTTCCTACTAAATATAATTAATTAAAAGGGAATGATTAGTAAATTAATCATAAGAAAAGAACGATATAAAACAAATTTAATTATATATGCTTCCATAACAGAACACCTTTCTTTTTTTTTTTTTTCTGAAAAGGAATTTTGATTTAAGAATCTCACTTATGACAAAAACAAAAGAAAGCTGAAATCTGGCCAGATAACAAAGAGTAACATGTGTCCATATTTAGCAGAGCTCTGACCTTAGGGTTTATATTTCCTTTTATCGGCCGATTTGGGGAGAAGAGCTCAATGTATACTTATATGATAATTTACAGTTTTTATAGGGAGCTGATTTTCACACACCTTTTATAGCTTTTCCTACACCCCTCTTTGTTCCAGGCCATCGGATTGAATAAATCAGACAAAAACAATGGACATGATTAGCCAAGGGTGTGTAGGAAGCTATAAAAGGTGTGTGTTTATCATTTCCCTTTTTATATGACATGCACAGAGAAATAAGCTTGCATGAAGAAGCAGAAGAAGAAGAAGAAGAGGAGGAGGAGGAGGAGGATGAAGAGGATTTTCATAGAAAATAAATAATAGAAAAATTGCAGGAATTTCCATGAAAATAGAAGAGGGATTCGGAGGGTTCTCATAAAATAATTTAGTATAAAAATGGATAACTGCGGGAATTTCCATGAAAAATTGAACAGTAAGATAACAAAAAGAAGGCGTACCTTGAAGAAACAAAAGAACCCCAAACCGTCCTCTTCAAACTATTTGAAGATCTAGCACGGGACAATCAAAAGGCACGCTTTCAAACGTATTCCAGAGACCAGACCGTCAACCAGCATTAAATTTATAGGTAATACTAAAATTTTAAATTAAATTTAAATGATGTATCAGTAATAATAAATAAAAACATTAATGAACATTTAATTAATTATTTGATTTATAAACTTTTGTTTAAAAATTTATCTTCTTATAAATACCATAGCCATTTTTTACAATTTTAAATTCAATAAAAATTAATAAAATAGGAAAATAAATACATTAGAATAACTTATCTTGTATTTCGTTCCTTTGTGATTGTGAAGTGCAGTGAGCCACATAAGGTATGGTACGTTTCCAAAAGGTCGGATCGTAAACTGGAGGACACCTGTTAGTAAGTAAGAACAGGATGATAAAAACAATAACAAACCCAAAACCTGTAGTTATGTCATATGTCTTAATTTTAACACATACACTGATCCACACACACATCTATAAATATATACACAACTTCTCCATTTCCCAAACAAGAAAAGTGAGAGCTGGGAATCAGAGGGTATCTAGCTATCTGTTTCATATATGTGAGATAGATGCATATAGGGTTGGGAGAAAAACACCTGGAAAGAGAATTGGGAAAGTAGAAGGGGCTGAGCCTGGGACTGGCCTGGTTTAATTTCCCATTCCTTTGCGGGAAGAGAAGGGGCGTTGATGAGAAATTAAGGTTTTGAACGTTGACGATCAAAATTAAGTGGTGAAATAAAGCCAGCGAGCGCGCAGATAGGAGCTGACGGAGAGAGAAGTGAGCACGCACCGCCCAAAGGTATGATTTTATACAATTGCCGCCTGTGTGTGCTCACTCTCTTCTGTCAACTACGCTCAGCTTAACCTACAGGTTTCTTTCTGCTTTCCAATATACACAAATATACATATATACATATATATATAGCTAATTAGTTACACCACCAAGTGCCATGGTCAGCCTAGCAGCTTTCCTTTCAGTTGAGTCATATCACGTTTTTATTAGGGTTTTGAATTCGGAATGCTCTGTGAATGCCCTTATCTACCAGGATAATTCACTATGTATACGCGCGGAATCTTTCAATTCATCAGGACTTGAGCAAGGGGGCCTGATTTCTGGTCTCCATTATTGATGGTGAAAGCCTGGTTGGTGGATAAAAGGACTGCCATCGATCCATCCACATCTGAATCATGTCCCGACATTTAAGTACCAAAAGTAATTTACTAGCACCACTAGCAATTAGGTGTCCAATTTGTAGCAGTGCCAGTGCTTTGGAAAGAAAAAGAGTAATTACATTTTTCACCTTCATATTTGAGTGCAATTACTACCTCTTACAATAACTTTTAAAACATTTCAGTCTCATTTTTTTACTTACACTTTATTAAAATTTCACATTTCCGTTAAAACTTCTGTTAAGATTACAGTTAATTAATGACGTTATAATTAAAATTTTCATAAAACAAATGAATATGACAAAATGTATATTTTTTTAATGTTAAATGGGCCCACCCCTTCAACATGCATCTGTAATTCTACATCTCTCTCTTCGACTCCATTACGCGAGAGACCATTGGCCAGGCGTCATCTTCGTCGCCATCATCGGCCATCACACAGCCATCACCACCACTACAGCATCCTTGAGCCGCTTCAACGCCATGGTGCTCCCGTCGTTCAGCACCGCCTTGTACACCGCCCCAGGCTCTCTTTCCCCAACATCTCCGCCAGTGCCCACATCAAATCCTCCAGTTCAAACTGCTGCCTCTGGTCAAAAAACACCAGCTTGCTTCTGTCGGTCGGAGGCGGTGAAGAAGTGCGAGGCGAAGAGGGTCTGTCTGTGTAGCACCAGTAGGACGATGCGGCCATGGAAACCGTATGAAGGTAAACCCAGAAATTGCAGAGAACGTGGGAAAGATGATTTCTTTCTTCTGTTTTCGAAATTGAGAAAATATTGGATCTTTGCTGTAGTGGAATCGAAGCTCGGCGACTCAGATGAAGGCAATTGAAATCTCGGAAGTTCAGAACGTCGATTGGGATTGGAAGCGTGGTGGGGGAATCCCTGAAATTGGGGGTTTGTTGTTTGACCAATTGCAAACGAGAGGCATTCTTTAAGCACGAGGCCAACCTCGGCGACGAAGGCATGGAGGCCGTCAGAGCCGCCGTGGCCCTCGAGGTTGAGAGCGAAGGAGGCAGAGTGTTCGGCAGAGGAAAGGAAGAATGGATGAATACATCAAAGTTCAAACGAGACCTACCTCAGTTGTTTATTTTATTTTATTTTAAATAAAATATTAATGAATTGAAATAATTTTGAATAGTTAAGTATTTTTTCTTTCTCAAAAAAAAAAAAGGAAAGTATTTTTTATTATTTGTTTGGCGATGTGGAACAAGGTGCAGACATTTTAGCTCAAATATGAACTTTATATTTTTCCATCCTTTAACCGTAAAACTAACAGAATTTTTAACGGATGTATGAAATTGTAATGAATATAAGTAAATGTATGTGATTGAAATATTTTAAAAATATTGTATGAAATTTTAAAGATATTGTATGAAGTTGCAATTTCTCTCAATATGCAAAATGTAATTTACCCAAAGAAAAATATTAAGTAAACTTTTTTAAAAGTGGGATTACTAAGACAACGTATTTTCATAATAATATTATAAAATATTATACTAAAAACATGAGGCGACGATGAGTTCATAAAAAATTTTATTTTTTGAGATCGTCTTCTTAAGATTTCTCCTTTGAAAATTGTCAAGTTGCACCACTAACTTAGCACTAGTTGTGGAATGTTGTGCTGAGAAGGGCCTGTAACTGCGTTGGCATCAAAAGTCCCATTGGCCACTTCTCTATTGCGGTTGCTCCTGTTTCAGCCGTCGGATCCACGTTTAATGTGATTCAATCTTAATCTCAGCCTTTAGATTTAACTTAGGGTTTTATATACATTGGAGTGTTGGTGTGGTGTTTGGCGGGTTCGAACTGCTGCGTTGGTGTAGGGAAAGGGAAGGGGCAGGTGTAAGGACACCCAGTAAAATGGAAGGGAGACAAAGATAAAGACGCCCATTAAATATCACCCACCCTTATTAGTTTTCATCGTATATCCCGAAAATCAGACAATAACAGAGTAGTCTGTGATAGATTAATTGAGGCACATGCGAAGTCTCTGCATATGCCTACATATGCGTATGTTGCCTCGCCTTCCTTTTGTGTTGTTTCTCAATTGATTATGCGTACGATAAATAGTTGGTTCTTTACAGAATTTTTTTCTTCATAAATGTGGCTTTGTCCTACGAAATTTTGTTCAAGAAGTCACATTTTCTCGGGTAAAGGTCTTTTACCCGATGTATTTTGCAATTGGTTAGGCAAACATGATCAACATTCAGGATTCGCCCACAATCTTTATGCGACGGAAAATTTTTGTAGGGCAAGGTGAAAACCGTCATGCAAATATTTGGCGCAAAAAAAAAAAAAGGTGCGTAATTTGAGAATGTTTGCCCAACAAAATAGAGGTTCGTCGACTCGAAGCCCTGTGCCCGACGACCATGTACGTTAGTTCGAGTTTTTATGTCGTTGAGTAAAGGCTTACAATAACCTGTAAGAAAATCCACCGACAAAAAATTTGCTCGACGTCATCCTCATGTTTGCTGGACGAGATGGTTCGTGCCTTCTTCATTTTTCCCTCTTCTTCTTTTCTTCTTTTTCCTCGCCGCTGCTCACCTGCATCTCTCTCTTCCCTCTCTCACTCACATCCTCTCCGTCTCTCTCTTCCAATTGATATATTAATTTTGATTGGTTAAGGCTTGTGATTGGATTCGAAGAAAATGAAAAGAAAGGTATGTATATGTCTTTTAATTATAAATTAGTAAGTTCTAATTTATTCAATTGTTTTATATATATATATATATATGTATATGTATGTATGTATGTATGTATGTATGTTGAAATTGCGAGGTAAGTGAAATTTTGAGTTTGTGTGTCCTTGAAATATATGTAGATTAAACGAATTTAATTTGTGCAGCATCAGTCTGCGATGTGGTGTAAAATTTGTTAATATTTCATAACCATTTATATGAAGTTTATTATATTAATTAACTTCGTATAATAAATTCGAAAAAACCTTTGACCTGTTTGAGAGTCTGTTGGATGCGCATGTCAACGTAGTATGTGGCTCTGCAATCTAACTAATTCTTGAATATCCAGTCCAGACAGTTCGCGAATGCGCTACTATGTGTTTAGTGTTTGCGATTAACATGGCTAAGTTTGGACTGTAAAAAAATTCAGTTGTATCCCCTTAATGTTCTTTGATTGCATACTAGATATTTGTTTATAATATTTACATTGTGCACTTGGGAGCCCAAGGGAGACGTTGCATAATTTTTTACGATTAGAAATAGTCGCGTGAATCCCAAATCACATCATATAAAGTGCACTTTCGAATAGGATAGGATCATTACTGGAGGCATAAGAGGGAGATGAAGCGTATCAAATTATTATGATAACTAAATTCTCTGAAAATAGGCACAATTGACAAAAAAGTGGATCAAATTGCAAGATAAAAGTTAAGACCAATAACCAGTTTCCAGTTTCTCAAAAAAAAAAAAAAGTTAAGACCAATATTCGGATTGAATGGGCAAATTTATTCAATTTGCAAACAACCATGTTGGTGCTCAGGAATCGTATAAGGTGTCTTTGCATGAAATGTAACAACTATATATATTTAGGTGATACTAGACAAAAGTCTAATATCATTTGTATATGAATGGGATGGTACACACTTACTCCAATTAGATTGATCATGGAGAATTACAGCGGCAACATATTCCGGCAGTAAAACACCTATGCATGAACTCTCTTCATCAGGCCGTGTTGATGACGACTAAGTGATGGACATATTGAATGATGTTTCCTAATGCTTCCTTAATGTTATCCTTAATGCTTTGCAATCGTTGGATTACCCTAATGATTAGTGTATTTCTTCAACATGTTTGGATTTCAAATTCTTCTTTCTTCTTAGCGTAAATTAGTGTACAATATCACAAATAGCAATAGGATAACAAAACCAATAAATCCAAAATCGCAAAACTTTAGCAAACAAAAGCTGCACAAATAACTAAATCCATTTCAATCTAACATCTATTATTAAGGTACTCTTACAATGAATTGTAGCTCAATCAATTAATAATCACATCTATTATTGAGACCTTGAATTCAATCTCTTATCTTTTAATAATGTGGTACAAACTTGTTAATCACATAAGGTGAATTGTACATCAGGAGTTTGACAAAATAATTTCTAATTTATGATTACACGGCTCCATTTCTAATTATGTCGAAGCCTTTTAGGATTAAACGCCACTCAAACTAGCAAGTGGTTAAGTGGGGCACAACATCAGTGTTTAACTATTTGGCTCGTCTTTATGAAACTCTAACATGATATCAGAGCAGGGTTTATCTAAGCCCGTATACAATCCTAATTAATAAGTATGTTCTAATAGTGTAGTATTTACATGCTTGTCTTTCCTCGCCACGTGTCTTCCCATATGACCATGGTCTCATGTGAGGGAGATGTTGAAAATCTCACATCCGCCGTTTGACATAACAATTTACAACTTATAATTATACGATTCCATTCCTGATTGCACCACAGCTTTTATGATAAATTCCTACTTTTACTGGACTAGCAAGTGGTTAAGTATGCGATAATATTTGTATTGAACTATTTGGAGTTTTGGACAGTCTTTCTAAAACTTTGCCAAAAAATTATATCACTCATCAATAAAGATGAATACTACTAAACCATGATACTAATGAACATGACAATATTAAAACCAAAGTGGTAAAGAAAAGGAAAAATGCTAGTTAATGTAAAATTTAATAGCCTTGGACTGACCCATGGTCCCACATGAAGGCCCTTGAGGTCCAATTAAATGGTTCACGGAACTTCACCTGCCTAGTGAATAGTTTGACCTAAGAGAAATGCTAAGACCATCTCCAACCCTTGAGCTAAAAGCTAAAAATTTTAGCCCCATATTATTAAAAAATGAACTTAGGCTAATTTTTTTCTTAAATTAACTTTAAAAAAAAATTATGTAGACTGTCATAAATTAATTTTATGAACATTTTAATCTAAAAATATTTAAATTCCGATAAATATTGAAAAATCATTAAATCGAAACTCATGAAACACTATGAAAAATAAGAAAATCATGACAAAGATGTATAAACACAGAATACATCAAACACATAAGACACACATAACACATGTGAAGCACATACAAAATACATGTGAAGGACATACAAAACACATGATAAAGATGAAGCACACACATAACACATGTGAAACACATGACACACATGAAACACATACCAAAATACATACAAAACACAAGAAACGCATGAAACGCAGGTTGAATATCAAACCATCAAACAACATATTCACCAATTTTTCAACTTTTAAAGTGTTTTTGTTTCCTAAAAATCCTTAATATCTCATCAATGGGTGATAGAAGAAGACATAGCACGACAATGCAGATGGCACAATACCAAGCAAGCCTTAACAATGTGGATGCAAAAATGATGAACGCAGAAGCCGAATTTGCAAACTCGTTTATGCAATATGAGCACCATGCTGAATCTAGCTATCGTGGTTCTGTCACGGGGCATTCATTTGTGCAGTGTGATAGAGAAGAGTGTCATGACCGAATGATGAAAGATTATGTCATCGAGCATCCGAGATTTCATGCTCAAAATTTTTGGAGGCAGTTTCGGATAAGGAGATAGCTTTTTGAAGGCATTTTGAACGCAGTTGTCAAGCATGACCAGTACTTTGCAAGGAAGATAGATGTTGTAGGCCGACAAAGTTTATCACCTCATTAGAAGCTCATTTCTGCATTTCGGATGCTAGCTAATGAGTGCTCTGCAGACTCAACAGACGAGTATTACTGACTTTCAAAGACTACTGCTATTGAGAACCTGAAACACTTCTGTAAGGTAATTGAAGCCATATATGGAGCCACATACCTCCGCAAGCCAAATTGTGAAGATTTGAAGAGGCTTCTACGCAAGGTAGACAAAAGAAGCTTCCCTGGTATAATAGGAAGTCTCGATTGTATGCATTAAGAGTGGAAGAATTGTTCTACTGCTTGGGCCAGTCAATTCAAGAGCTGTCATAACAAGCCAACCATCGTGCTCGAGGCTGTGCGTCTTACATTACATGGATTTAGCATGCAATCTTAGACGCTCCTGGATCAAACAACGATATCAACATTCTTTGGTCTTCTCCTCTATTTGATGATGTGTCAATGGATGGGCACCAGAATTTTGGTACAAGGTAAATGGTAATAGAT